CATGCTTCCCCATATGAAGGCTTCCTCCCTTTACCCTTGCCTCCCACTAGCCTAAGTTCCTGAGAATCTAACTTGACCTTAGACTTTGCATGTACTGTCTCTGTGCACCATTTTGCTGTGGGCCAGTGAGAGAACAAGGTGAAAAGCATTGTGTAAACCGTCAATAAAAGTGCTAGAGAGATGTATCAGTTACTCTCATGATTCCTATTTCTCCTTGGACTTGTCTGTCAGACCCCACCTAGTGTGCCTGCCTTGTCAGTCTGACCTGACATTGAACCTAGTTCACTCTACCCACGCCCTGGTGTCCACCCTCGTGGAGCTCTCCCACATGGCTGGCTCCATCCCTGAGCAGCACAAATCCTGCTGGTTGCCTTGTGCCAGGGAAAGCCCAGACCTGGCCTCAGGCCTTGGCTTTGCTCTGACTTGCTATACGACCCTGGAATAGTACTTCTGTTCTCTGGGCCTGTTTCCCTCTATGTACAAAGTGGAAATCTACCCTCTAGCTCCAAAATTGCTGGATTTCAGGGAAAGGAATTTCCCTAGGAATGATGCCTCTGCTGTCCCTTCCCCTCAGCTGGCAGGGCTCACAACTCAGGCCTCTTCCACAGCTAGGAGACAGGGGGAGAGGAGTATCCTGGAGCAGGGCCTCCTGTCCCTTTGAGAAACAGAGCAGCCTGTATGGGGATATGGGGGTTTGACTCCCACCAGCCCAGGGCTGAGGGAAAACCATTAAATCAAATGAAGGAAAATAAAATCTCTTCTATGGATTTTGTGTCAAGGCCATCAGCATTGCTGGCAGGCTTAACTTTCTTCCCGCAGTGGAACTGAAACCGGCTGAGGCTAAACCCTGAGAATGGAGGCCAGGCCCAGGGGAAGCCTGGCACCTGGCCTGGCTCAGTTAATGTCTCCTCAGTAGAGTCCAGGGTGTTCACAGGACAGAGGGAGAGGAAGCACCGCCTCACAACGAGCTCAGGGGATGATCTCAAATCAAAGGTCTCTCATGCACACCAGAGCTATCCAGGTCAGTCAGAAGAACCGAGAGGGCGAGGGCAGAGGCTCTGGATGCCTTTCAAGGCCAGCACATCTCATCTGCTTGATACCTCCCCTTCCTAACTTGTCAGCTCCACTCTTCTGTTACTGGGACCCACGCGGACTCTCCTGCTTCTGTACCTTTGCTCATACTGTACCTTTTACCAAGAATGCATCTCCTAAAATCATCTGGCAAAGCCTTCCTGTTTCTCTCAGGCCCAGCTCAAATCCAACCCTCTCCAAGGAGCCTTCTGTCTTCTCCTTTCTCTCCTCCTCCTAACTCCTCCCAAGGCACACTAGACAGTGTACAGATGACTGTACAAACTACAATTAGATTACCTACTCCTGTTTTGTACAGGCAAACCATAACTAACCGCTGTGCCACTCAGATCTTAGGTGACAGACCTTCTTACCAGAAACAAATGTCCCAAAGCTTGTACTGAAGGTGTCCTAGGGACTGACTGAAGCCAACAGTGACACCATGCCAAGCTCACCAACTCACTGAGAAGTGAGCTGACGCTGGAGGAGGGTGTGGGATTGAAGCTTTAAAATAACCCGGGAAGAGGCCTGAGAAATGAAATGAGGCTGTTTGGATAACTGGAGGTGATACTGATGATGTGGAGGCAGTGTTGATACGGGGTTCTACTACCTAGCTGCAGACAGGGGTCCACCGAGCACGGCTGAAGGCAGTTCCTAGAAAAGTAAAACTGTCTTCCTGTTTACACCCTAACAAGCTGAGCCTGCCGAGAGACTGGTTTTATCTGGAGGCAAATGCTGTTTGTGGCCTTTGCCTTCTTACTTGCCTTCCTGGACTTTGACTCCGCTTGGGCAGCAGAGTGTACAGACCCTGACTAGCTAGCTATAGTCATGCTGCTCCCAGGGGCCAGTCATGTAGGGCCGGGAACACGACCTGATCCTGGCCCAGGAGGCGCAAGGGACAACTGCTGAGGGGTTTCTGAGAAATAGTTTTCTTACTCGTAAGAGGCATTGGCAGCAAAAGGAGAAGGCGCTTGTGACTCTTGTCTTTCTTCTTGCTCAGAACGCTGTGCTCGAAGCTTAGCTTAGAGCTGAGACAACCACCAGGAAACCATGACAGAGCTGTGATCTCTGCCACGGACACAAAATGAGGAGGTGGTGGCGTGAGTGACATACCTGTGCTGTCCCTGTGCTATAGAAAAATGGTGACTTTGAGTCAGTGTCATCCAGTGACAAGCCTTAAGCCTGGGTCCTCTGTCCTGGAGCCTTGGGAAGCTCCCTGATAGAGCTGGTTCCGAAGCGAGGCATCCAGGAAGCAAAAGAATCTTCCTCGAGTTGGCCTGTTTCTTTTTGCACTAATGGATTTAAATTTCCTGCACTCATCACAGACTCTCCTCTTTGTTCCCATTTTTGCTCTTGGTATAACAAATATATTATTATTAGTCACTTTGGATAATTCCCTTTCTCAGTAGGTCAGCCTTCAGAGCACCCCCGTGGTTGTCACTGGGCTCTGGTGGCTCACGGGTGTGTGCCCGGCCCGAGGGCGAGGCATTGCTGTGTGCTCTGGGCTGAACTGGTCTGGGGGCTAATGGCCTGTTAGAGAGATGCACACACCCCAGGGGACACATCTGGCAGAAGGCCTCTTCTAGGAAAAAGGTTATTCCCTGAGAGAAATCCATTCCATCAGGTTGAGGTGGGACCAGAGCTCCCCTACCTTTCTTTCCTTCTCTACCACAGAGGTGGGCATGCAACCCAGGCTGGACCTAGGACTCTCTCAGGGTCCATTCCTGCCCAGTTACTTCCTGTAGACTGGACAGGGAGCGATTTCATTTGTTTTTCTAGTATCTTGGTTTCATTACCTATGGCCAGAGGAGCCTCTGGATCTTTCTCTGGAAACTACTTTTCATGTGGTTATCTCACCTTCTAAATTGTCCTCCTCCTGCAGAGTCCTCCCTGCTAAAATTATTGGGGCACAAGAACCTCCCCTCTCTGGGCGCCTGGGTGGCTCAGTCGGTTGAGCGACTGCCTTCGGCTCAGGTCATGATCCTGGAGTCCCGGGATCGAGTCCCGCATCGGGCTCCCTGCTCGGCAGGGAGTCTGCTTCTCCCTCTGGCCCTCCTCCCTCTCGTGCTCTCTGTCTCTCATTCTCTCTCTCGCAAAAAAAAAAAAAAAGAACCTCCCCTCTCTCCCCCCACAGCCCCAGGCGTCTCCCACAGAATCCTGATTCGAGGCCTCTACCAGCCCGACCCGCTGGGCCTTTGGCAGAATGCTGGAGAGCTAAGCCCCAGGGGCTGCATCCTGCATTGGCGCTGGAAAGCCACCGACAGTCATCCACAGGGCAGGCTGGGTGTGTTCGCCACAGCAGCGTGCAAGTGAGGAGCATTATCTCCCCAGACTGACCTGACCTGGCCTTTTTTGCTCCTAACTGTCTTCAGAGTTCTCATGATTGTGTCATGAGAACAGGAGCGACCTGTAGATCTTTCCCTCCCTTAATATTCCCCTTCCCCCAAACCCAAGAACCTCTCTCATTTCTCTAGTTCCTTCCCCAGACTATGAAACTGCTACTAATTTTCTAATAAAAAATTTTTGTCCGTCCTGGCTATCCTGATGAGAAATGACTTCCATGGTGGACTTTATTATTGTTCCAAATACTCATGGTCCCTCCCCCAGCTCCATCCTTGCTGCCTCCCCCCAACACACACACCCACCCCAGAAGATTATACCTCCCTACCTTTTGAACTCAGGAGTGGCCATGTGAGTTGCTTGGGCCAGTAAGAGGTAAACAGAAATAACAGAGTCACTTCTAAGCAGAGACCTAAGGGACAGCTGTGGTTCTGTCTCTTCTCCTCCTCCTTTTGTTGTTGTTGTTTTGTTTTTTGGTTTAAACAACAGATACTTATTTTCTCAAAGATCTGAAGGCTGGAAGTCCAAGATCAAGGTGTCCGCAGGGTTGGTTTCTTCTGAGGCCTGTCTCCTTAGCTTGCAGATGGCTCCCATCTTGCTTTGCCCTCACATGGTCTTTCCTCTGTGCACACGCGTATCTCGGGCATGACGTTCCTGGTGCCACCATGCCGGGCTCAGGGGTATGCTCTCCACCTGATTTTGTGCACAGGGCTGACCGAAGATGGAGATTTCAGCTAAGTGTCCAAAGTGAACTATGTCCTCTGTCCGGCAGGACCTGGCTCATCCACTCCATTTTCAGAATTATGACTTGGTGTCTGGGCTGAAGATCGAGTCAGCCAGCCACGCCTCCAGGTGAAACACCAACAGGTCTCCTAGTTCCTGCACAGGAATCTGCCACAGCTGGATGGAACCCGTGGTGGAGGAAGTGGTGACCTCAGCGGCCTATCCAGGAACCCAGCAGGTGTCCGTTGTCAGCCTGGCCCTTAGCAGCACCTGTGCTGTTGACCCCGCCAGGACCAGCAGCCCAAGAGCAAGCTCCGAGCAGTTCCCTCAGAGCTCCAGCCTCTTTCCTCCCACTCTGTGAGGACACTGGAAGGGGTCCCAGAGTGAAGACAGTGTAAAGCAGAAGTGCAGCTGACCCACGGTAAACACGTGATGGAAGTAAAATGTGAGCCTCTGTTGTTGTCAGCCATGGAGGTTTGGGGCCTTAGCCTCATGACTGATAGATCCTCTCAGGCTCTCATCAACAGGCCTTCTGTGTCCACAGCCTGGAGTTCCCTCTGCCCTCAGGATGTACCGTGGAGCTGCAACGCTGGACCCAGAGCAGTGGGGAGTAGGACTGCCTTGTCTCTTGCTGGGTCTTGGAGGGCCTAAAGCTGGGGTCTTTGTACTTGACTTCCTGCCACAGCGTGCCCTCTGGTCAAGCCTCGGTCTGGTCTGACCAGCCCCGTCCCAGCTGCCCTGCTCTCCTGGGGCCCTTGGCTTGGAATAATAAAACTCGCATAATTTCTTCTTCTAGAGCAAAGGACATAGCTTACCCAAGAGTGGTCAGTGGTTTCGTTTCAAATGTCCACACTGCTTGGAAGTACACATAATCATATAAAATTATTTTTATTAAAATAGAAAAGCTTTCCAGTATATTGCATTGAAGACATTTATATAGAAAAAGCAATTGCAACAAACATGCTACATCAGCACTGAGATATTCTGAAAGCTTTAAGTGCCCACTTTTAAACAATATTTTGGTATAATGAGCATACCCCTATATATTTCAAAGAGTACATATAATACTGAAAAAAATACTTCATGTAACATCTAAGTTTAGGTGCATACAAACAAGAAGCATTACATTGAATAGCTTATTTCAAACTGTGAAACACATTCAAAGTATTCAATTGCTTAGACAACATGCAAACACTTTAATACTTAGATTGACATTTTTAAATATATAAACCACAATTCTTTATAATTCTATATCAAAAAAGAAAGTCAGACAGAACACTTACCCACACGGTGCATATCACAAAAAGCAATGTGTCTTCACGAACGGAAAGTACTGGGTTAACACACATGATTGTCATTTTACAAATATGGCTATTTACCTTCTTCATAATAAAATAGAAATATCATGTATTATTTACATGAACTACTAATTATTTCACTTTTTGGCAAGTATATAAGTAGCAGCAATTGGTTTAAAGATTGATATTTAAAAACTCTAAGTTTAACTCAGATGAATACCGAAGAATATACTTCTGGTTAATATAAAAATGCATAATGCAATATGCTTTGATGTGATATAACTTCTCCCCTTCGCAAAAGTCATACACACATTAGTAACCACTGAGCCTATTGCTTACAATGTATCTCGTAAATGCCATTTCCTTATCTGGCTTTGCTGAACACAATAGATGGGTTCTTGAATTAAATTTCTGTAAATTAAATTTGCCTGATGATTTATATGATAATTTCAAAGATGCATTATCCTTATTTCACACTCTAATAGCAGGTTCTTCACGGTGGCCCCTAGCTTCTAGACAGAGTAGGTAATTATCTGTAAACAAACACACACACACTAGGGGCACCTTAATACTTAAAGGAACTCTGAAATGAAATTTTTGGGTATGAAGCTTATAGTAAAATGAGTTCCTTTCTAAAAAGTGATCATCTCACTTACCAATGATACCCAATTTGTTTTACAGTGGCGGGGGGGAGCCCATCTAATGAGCAAAGCATAAACTGTAAGGCAGTGATCCACCAAAAGAAGACATCCTCTTTTCATTAGTATTTGGAAGAACATACTTTAACATTTGTAAGAACAAAACAAAAACCCTAATATTGGCAGATTAAAAAAAATACTGCGTGGTGAACAGAGGTGACAAGTGCTTCTCCTTGGCCACCATTCAACTACAAACCAGGAGTCCTGCATGTCTTTCACAATGTAGAAAAACTCAGTGGAGGAACATTTTGCACTTTTCACGGGTGGTCAGTTATGTGTCCAGACCATGTGCAAGGCAGGGCCCAGGCTGAGGAGGACGAGGCAGGAGGAGCAGGGGGCTCTGGCCTCGATGCCGGCTGATGGCACGCTGCTGGAGACCTGTACCTGGGAAATGATGAGGGCAGACAGAGGGACGTGGGACGCCAGCGTGGGGCTGTCGGAGTTGATGAGGGATTCGATCTTCTCTGCTTCTTTATTGCAGGCCTCAATCTGGGAGAGGAGAATCAGATTTTTAAAGTCTACAACCACAGGACCCGTGAAATGGGCAAGTCAGACACAATCCACATATATTCTAACAGAGAATGTGCTTTCTCTGTCCTTTTTTAGCCAAAGTCACATTTTAATATAGTCTTACTTTATTACACCAATAGTAACAGCATCGATGGAAATTAAATCAGAAAAGGAATGATGCACAATGCCACTGCCCTTGCCACTTAGCCACATGCAGACATTACCTCCCCACAGTTAGACACAGTGGACTTTCAGGGCTTCCTTCCCCATCCCAGAGGAGAGCGAGGGGCTTTCCTCAGCTTCCTGATGTGGCAGTGTACAAACCGCTTGTATTCACCCTTCACTTGAGCCCCCACTGTTTTGATACTGAACTTGGGCCCACAGAAGCGAGACTCACCTCTAGAGTATGAGGAAGAAAAATGGGGTCCATAAGACCAGTCCCGGTGGGCTTCTCCTCCCCACTGGGAGCAGGGGACAGGCATCTTCTCATCCCCTGTCCCAAGGGGACAGGTATCTACTCCGGCTGTGTCACTGCATGACCTGTATCAGCCCCTTCCCTCCCTGGGCCCCAACGGCCTCATCTGTATGTAAACAGATGCCTTCCGTGTCTGCATGCTCTGAGCAACCTCTCAGCCTCTCCACTCTGCCACTCCTTCACATCCTGCTGTCAGATATGTGCCCCGCCTCAGTCACCTGGAAAACCTCACCTGGTACAGCTCTGTCCTTCTGAGACTGCCTTGCTTTTCTCCCTCCTGCCCTAGCTTTCCAAATGCCTCCATTTCCTACCCCCTCCTAAGTCCTCCAAACAAGAAGCCTGCACAATGCGTGCTGAACCCCACCTGCAAAGCTTTTGGATAATGATCGACAGGAATGATCAGGATTACAATTTCGGATTCAATGCTGAAGTATCCAAATACGTCACACTGCGGGACAGATACATGCATGCGGATTTTCTGAAGTATTTCCAGAACTGTTATTGGCTTTTTGTTTGTTACCTGGGAACAGAAAAAAAATTCCATTACCTGAATAAAAGAGGAATTCCTTATTACTGCCTAGGCTACCTTGCTACCTTGCCTATTGGAACCCTAAGTGTGGGGCCCCAAAAGGGGCCTGCTGGCTGAATTCTAAATCTCCAGAATCCTTTCCAAAGGGCTTTTGTATTACTGCTGAGCTTTGTAGCCAAGATAAACACTCACCCAAAGCCCCCACTCCCTTTTAAGGGACTGTTCTGAGTTGGGAGCCACAGGAAAATGATTAAAGTCTTCCTATAAAAATACAGGTATTTGAATCCAAACGGGGATAATTTTCTAGGTAGTGGCAGGTGTTGGCTGCTACATTTCTGGAACCCTGTATCCACAGAAGTGGAGCAGAAGTGATGGTACATCAAAGGGAAAGGGGCAAAGCGGCCATGGGAAGGTGGCAGGTTCTGGAAGCACCCCCCTGGAGGAATGGGGACTGAGGGCAGGCCGCCTTGAAACCATCTGGGCAACTACCAGTCTCTGGCTGCTTGGTTCTGCCTCGAGCTCTAACTCTACATACTCTGCAAGCAGGGGACCTTTTCTAAGGCAGGCTCAGGCTGTGTTGTGCACGGCAAGGTCACCAAACAGCCAGGGTGTAGAGGAAAGGAGCACAGGATTGGGGGCCAGACAGCCTGTGCTCAAACCCTAGTTCCACTAGTTATGAGCTATATAGCTTTGGGCAAGTTGCTTTTCTGTGAATTACTTTCTTCCTCTATAAATGGGACAACACATTCTACTCTATAGGATTATGAGAGGTTTATCAATCAGGTTTCAACAGTACCTGGCACATAAAGCAATTTACCTTCGCAATAGTATCCAGTTTTTCTTTGTCAAATAAAACTCTTAACATTCCAGCACATAATGGGCAACAAGCACCTGTATAACAGAAACCATTTTATGTGTGTTCAGAATTAGAAAATGAGAATTCAAAATAGTCGGTGAAATAACCAACCCTTCATTTTGTGTTAGGAGAGTTGTAGCTGTCCTCCCTGATGACTGTACTTTTAGATATGTTCCCTGACCAACAGGGATCTTATTATCTATACATTTACCCAAATACTTCCTCCACCCCTGCTTTCATCCTTTACCACTTCTCAGGGAGACGCGTGATGGTATGATAGCAGAGAGAGACAGCCTTTCAAGAGATGTGGGGCCTGGACCCTGCCCTGCCTCAAAACTCACTGTGATCCTAGGCAAGTGCTTTCCTGGGCCTTTGATTTCCTGTCTGCAAAACAAGGGAACAGATGTTTTAGGGATCCTGTGAGTGTTTGATTAAAATTTAATTTTAAAAATTATATTTAAGCTGTTAAAAAATGGTAACAAAATATGAGAACATGGTCTCCAGGAGGAAAGAGGCTTTGTTTTGCTCACTGCTGTGCCCCAGTGCCTAGAAGAGTCTCTGGCACACAGCAGAAGCTCGAGAAACATTTTATGAATCCAGGGCTGGAGGAATGAACTTGTCAGACTCCAGGTACCCTGTTCTGTGCAGAAGTGGGATAAAGTCTTTTCTGCTACCTCTGTTTAACTGAAAAGTACAGCACTCTAAGGTAAGTAGTTTAAGAAAACTGTTACTACTGGGGTGTCTGGGTGGCTCAGGTGGTTAAGCATCTGCCTTCGGCTCAGGTCATGATCCCAGGGTCCTGGGATCGAGCCCCACGTCGGGTTCTCTTCTCTGCGGGAGCCTGCTTCTCCCTCTCCCTGCCTCTCCCCCAGCTTGTACTCTCTGTCAAATAAATAAAATCTTTTAAAAAAAAAAAACCTTAAAAAAAAAAAGAAAACTGTTACTACTTATAAGAGTCTGTATGAAACAAGACTTTCTTAATTACGTGCAACTAGATGCTAAGGCCAATCTAAGACCACTATCTTATGTTTCTCTCAATTTCAAATGTTTGTGTTCCTCAAAAGTACTTCAATTATTCATTCATTCATTACTTATTCTTTATTCATTAACTACTAATTCTTTGTTTGTTAACTTTATAATGAGTAAACTTTATGCATTTGAACTAATAACCATAATTTTAGTAACGAAATATCGCTTTATCTATTTATATATTAGTGTTTGGTGGGATCTTGCCTGAAAAATTTTGCCATATTGTTTTATTTATTTATTTATTTAGGTGGATTTATTTTTAAGTAATCTCTACACTCAACGTGGGGCTCAGACTCACAAATCTGAGATCAAGAGTTGCATGCTCTTTTGACTGAGCCAGCCAGGCACCCCTGCTACATTGTTTTAAACCCAATCGACAAGATGATGTCTAAGGTAATCTATAGCTTTTTATTTATTTGAGAGAGAGAATGAGAGAGAGAGAGCACATGAGAGGGGGGAGGGCCAGAAGGAGAAGCAGACTCCCTGCCGAGCAGGGAGCCCGATGCGGGACTCGATCCGGGGACTCCGGGATCATGACCTGAGCCGAAGGCAGTCGCTTAACCAACTGAGCCACCCAGGCGCCCGGTAATCTATAGCTTTTTAAGGTGGACCCAGAATAATGCAACTAATCAGCATCAGGTAGAGCCAAAACTTTTTTTCTTAAAATTTTATTTATTTATTTAGAAAGAGAGAAAGAGAGATCACGAGCGGGGGAAGGGCAGAAGGAGAAGGAGAATGAGAATCTCAAGTAGACTCCCGCTGAGCACGGAGCCTGACGCAGGGCTCAGTCTCACGACCCCAAGATTATGACCTGAGCCAAAATCAAGAGTTGGATGCTTACCCCACGGAGCCACCCAGGCGCCCCAAGCCAAGAGTTTTTGAAAAATTTAAGTAAATGAGTCAACTCTCTTTCTGAGTGACTCACTCCCTGGAGGTAGATAAGGAAGTCTTCCCAATCCCACCCCAAATACTGCCAGCCTACCTGGCGGGATGACAGGTTTGCACTCAGTCGCAGAGAGCGAAGGACACTTCACTGCAGCACACTCAGCGACAGAACTGTACTCTGAGAGGGCCCCAACAGCCTGGCAGGGCCCGTGGTAATCAACTGCTACACGATCTGAGTAAGCAGCACACACGCTACTGTAGGTCTCCCCATTGTGCCCGCAGATGGGCTCTGTGGCTCTGCAGAAAGGCTGATGACAAAGCACATTTAGCCTATAAACCTCTATGGTACATTTTTTCTAACCAAGAGTACAGAATAGAAAGGAAAAAAGACACAGCTATAAATTCCTGGACCCTCTTAATTAAGCTCCTAAGGTCAGCTAAACTTTGGGTTGGGGTGGGGTCAATAGGGCTGTCTCAAGATGAATTGAAACGATTACTTTGCTGAGGCTCTCTAGGACATGGGTGCTCATTCCATGTGAACTGATAGGAGATACTGCCCCCTTTCACCCCAGACTTCTATCATTCCAGAACTACCTACCTGTCTGATGAAAACAAGATCAATCTCCATGCAAATTCAGAAGCCTTATCATTTCATGCTGGGTAGGGATAAGTAGAGGAGAGTGGAGAGGTCAGTGGGGTGGAGACTCTGGACCCATCAGGTAGGTTAGGATAAGTAAGACAAAACTTGTAGCCAGTAAGAGGGAAGAAATAGGAAGAGAAGACTGGGAATTCAGAGTAGATGTTATCAGTGCACTTGGAACACAAGCTCTGAGGGAAAACACACCTAGGGAGACACGCTGAAGGCATTCTCCTGCCAGTGAAGACCAGGAAATGAGAAGCAATCATGTCAGGTGTTAGCTGGCTGGGGGCCGGGGGTGGGGGGTGGGGGTGGGGCTGCAGTGGTGTGTGTGGGGTTGTCCTTGGGAGTATGTTTTTTGACACGAACCGTAAAAGGCTGAGAGATAAACTGATGTAAAAAGACATTAAGTCTTCGAGAAATTTTCACTCACTCTTCTACGAGTGGGACTTTGGTGGAAAGAGTGGGAAAGGACTCTTCTTGGTGGCTTTAACTCGCATTCTCCTGGGCCATTTGCTAATGACAGCCACAGAAGGGGAAGTGAAAACGGTACTGATGCACCCAGGGGTGTGTAACTTTGCATTCTTTTCCTAATGGTGGGTGGCAGGAGGCCACTCTGTTCTTGCTTGTCCACTAGATGCCAAAGGTACCAACACAAGCAGGAGGGCCCTCCAGAGTTAGGAGAAAAAAACCAGTCTTGGGATGGCTCATTTTAATTCTCTAGATTTGATAGGATTCACAGAAGACCCCCAAGTGGTCTTACTGCTGCTTCATCTGTAAAAGATCATAAATTAATTTTATGCTTGGGTTTGTCAGCCAAACAACTGTACCTGGCAAGGGCCTTTGTATAAGAGGCTTTGCCCCCTCTGGTACAAAGTGCAGAGATTGCCGTGTTCCATGTGGTTTGTGTCACAAACAGGATCGCGAACCTGGTCACAGGTGAGCTGTCTTGGCAAACACTCATATTGGCTACATCCAAATTTATCAAAAGTTGTCAGGCAGACTTGTGGTTTGGGTATGCATCTGAAAAACACAAATGCGGCACCATCAGCCAATGCTGGGAGGGGCAATGATGGGGCCAGTAAGGCACTGACGAGGCACAAGAGGTTAAGAAAAAAGCAAGAGCGAAATCCGAAACAGTCCCTATCCCCAGGAGCTTATGTAGAGTGGGAGAGTCAAGCATGCATATGAAGTGAGCGAGCAAGTTACACTCGAAATGCCCGTGGGAGTGAGTCACTCTGGTTCGGGAGCCTGGAGAAAGCAACAGGAGCAGGTGGTGTCCTGGCCGCCACCTGGGGGACTAGGGGGGCTGCCCAGGCCTGCCAGGCTGAGGGAGCAGCAAGAGCAAAGGTGTGCTGCGACTACAGTGCTGGGGGCAAAGGGGAGGTGACCCTGAGGGCAGGAGCCAAGGTCACAGGGATAGAAGTGGCAGCACATGAGGCCCATCGGGTGGGTTGGGGTCCAATGTTAGAGGCTTTTTAGTCAATAATAAATGAAGCATTTTCTGGGGTTTATTTCCAGCTTGGGTAATACGAGTCTGTCTTTTTTTTTTTTTTTTTAAAGATTTTATTTATTTATTTGAGAGAGAGAATGAGAGAGAGCAGGGTCAGAGGGAGAAGCAGACTCCCTGCAGAGCAGGGAGCCCGATGCGGGACTCGATCCCGGGACTCCAGGATCATGACCTGAGCCGACGGCAGTCGCTTAACCTACTGAGCCACCCAGGCGCCCAATACGAGTCTGTCTTAAGAGAAGGCTTCACAGTATGAGCTGAAAAACTCAGGCTCCTGTGCTTACAGGCTGAGGACCTGCCACTGGCTGGTCGTGAATCACGGACAGTGTGCCACCCCCTGGAAGCTGGGTTTTCCTAGTAACATCAGGACCTTGCCTCATTCTCAGTTCCTGAACTTCCTCGGAGGGTTTGGGGATGATAGCTCTTCTTTAGACTTTTCTGCTCTTTCATTTCTACACTGGGCATTTATAACTTTCCTATACGGAGACCTATTAAAATGTGGAGCTTTCACTGGGCATTTGAAATACCAGGATACATAAATGTTAGTCTGTAAAATAAAAGGAGAAGAATATAGCAGCTAGCATTATTTTAATTTCAAAGGAAATGACCTCTACTCTCTTTAGGGATAAGCCTCCTGCTCTGAAATGACCACCACCACCATCACTACTATCACCTACAGTTACCTTTTCTGACAGGATTTAAAATTAGAATGCATGTAGTTATGGGGTTTTTTTGGAAATTTAAGACATTTGAAAAAAAATAATGGAAAAGAATATTTAGAACTTCCTTATCTATTAACATGGAAGGGATGAGAACCAAGAATATCAGGGGACATTTGGTAATTTTGGAAGGAAAAACTTTATCAATTTGAGTATAGAGAAATAAGATCAATTGGAAAGCTGAGAATCCGGGGGCTAAGTTAAACATGATCAGGGCAGGGACTCTGTCTTGCTTAGTGCTGTGTCCTAGTGTTTAGAAAGATGGCTGGTACATCAGTAGATATTTGATGAATGAACACAACTTCATATTTTTTAAACAATTATTTTTTGAACAGATAACACAAGCCCCTGGTGAAACTGGAAAGATAGAAAATCGTATACAGTGCAATAGTCTGCCACCTACTCTTCCATCCCAGCCGTCGCCACCCCCCAAGACAGCTGCTATTGTCAATTTCTTGTTTAGTCTTCCCGAGATCCCTTATGTAAGTATAAACATTTATATATGCTGAGTCATGAGTATGTGTATTTAAAATTTTGATAGGCTTGGACAAATTGCCCTCCATAGAGGATGTACCAACCTTCCCTTCAACCCCCTTCTTGTATGGGAGTGGATTCCTTACATTATGTTACCAAAATTTTTATCTTTGCCAGTCTGCTAGAAAGAAAATGGTATATAGTTGTAGGTTTTTTTTGTTTTTTTTTTTAAGATTTTTTATTTATCTATTTGACAGCAAGAGAGAGACAGCGAGAGCAGGAACACAAGCAAGGGGAGTGGGAGAGGGAGAAGCAGGCCTCCCGTGGAGCAGGGAGCCCGATGCAGGGCTCAATCCCAGGACCTGGAATCATGACCTGAGCCGAAGGCAGACGCTTAATGACTGAGCCACCCAGGCGCCCCTACAGTTGTAGTTTTAATTTAATTTACATCTCTCTTAATATGAGAAAGATGAAACACTGTGGTACACTGGCTGGATGTACATCAAATTCATTTAATTTTCTTCCTGGGCACACATCTAGATTATGTTTCCCAGGCTCCCTGGCAATAGTTGTGGCCAAATGATTGAGTTCTGACAGGGGAGTGTGGCTGGAAGTAGAGGTGAATGTCACTTTTAAACCTGACCTATGAAAGCTTCTCAAGAGCAACCTTCATCAACAACTTAACATAAAAATGGGCAAAAATTAAAAAACCTAATAGAAAAATGAACCAAAGATACAAACATAGAAAAACAAATAGTTATTAAACATTTGAAACTAGGCTTTTATTAGAGTAACTCCAGCTAGTGTATACAAACCCCAAAGTATCAGGACTTTAATATAAGTTCAAATACAATCCATTTGTGCGTTCAGCAGGTGGATTTCTACATAGTGATTCAGAAACTTAAGATCCCTCCGTCTAGTGACTCCCAGCTCCTACAGAATCATAGTCCTCTATACCTTCTGTCTGGCCAGCAGATATTAGGTTGTTGATTTTTTCATGTTGATTTGTAGGGACTCCTTATACTGTAAGGAGATCAGCCCTTTCTCCGTGATATTCTTTCCAGTTTGTCATTTCTTACCATGCAGAAAATTTTCATTTTCTTGTAGCTGCAATTTTCAATCTTTTCTTTTTATATTGGTTATGTATTATACCCAGCATAACCTTCCCACTTTGAGATTTTTTTGTTTTATTACAAGAGCAAAACAACCTTATTCAGAAGGGTTAGCTAATAGAGAAAACAAATGAACAAATAACAAAACAACCCTCAAGTCACCTCCCAATACAATTATATCATCCTATCAGCTTATTTCTTATGCCCAGGATCCTGTCTTCTTTCCATAGGAACTTTTTGGGCTTAGTTTTCATTGTATAAACTTTGCCAGATGGGTGACCAATTCTCTTTGCCATTTCTTTTAGTATGTGTGAGAATGGGTGACCAATTCTCTTTGTCATTTCTTTTAGTATGTGTGAGAATCTTCCCCTCGCTCCATCCTGCGTCAGGTTTTTCAGGACGGAGAAGCAATTGCTTATTCTCCACAACATCCTTTACAAGGAAAGGAAGCGTCCTGTTCAGGTCTCTGAGGCAGCTAGTGAAAACTCCTGTTCTAGAAGCCTAAATCTAAGAGAGTCAGCAGGACTCCTGTCCTATGGCTACCATATACAGAAACCCATCATTAAGGTAGATCCACTGCACTCTGAGCTCATGGGGAAACTGCAGAGGAAGGAGCCCCTAAACAAATAACGTCACATAAAACTGAAGTTGCATTTCCAGAGATTTCTCATGTCCAATCCCTAAAATGGAGGTAGATAAGTAGAAAAAAATTTCCACTACTATCAGGCATAAATAGCTAATAATAAGAATACATCCATTTCTCTCATCTTGTCTGCTACCATTCTGTGCCTCACACTTTCTGTTTCGGTCTTATAGAACTGCTATAGCTCCCAGGAGACACCATGCTATTTCCTCATTTCTAGCAGTCAAGATCTTTGCTCCTGTTGTCCTCTCTGCCTTCACCAACACCACCCTCCACTGTCAACCTTGCTGGCAATCTCCTCCTCGTCTTCTTAGCTGATTATCACATCCTCCAGAGGCTTTCCCAGGCTTCCCCCAGGCTGCATGAACTCCACTTCTGGGCCCCAAATCATAGCATGTTATCAAGGAGCTTTACATGGCTCTTTCCCTGTAGACTGCAAACTCTTCAGGGCAGAGGTCTTCTTAATTCGTTTTTGTATTTCAGTGTCTGGTATACAATAGATGCTTAGTAAGTGGTGGTCTTCAGTTGAAAAAGATGAGGAGTGATTGGGGAAGATGGCGGTAGAGTAGGAAGACCCTAGGCTCACCTCATCTCACAAATACACTAGATAACTATCAAACCATCCAAATACTCTGGAAATTGATCTGAAGACTAGCAGAACAAACTCCACAACTCGAAGTAAAGAAGAAGGTAGGAGGTGCAGAGACATGGCTCGGAAGAGAAATGGATCATGGCCCCTGTGGTGGTGGGGCAGTCACAGTTGCAGAGAAAGGTGAGAGACAAACCAGCACACAGGGGAGTGCATGGGGAAAAACAAATCCCCATAACAACTGGCTTGGAAAGCAAGAGGGCCTGAATTTCATGAGTTCTTGGAACCAATGGGGCTTAAAGCCTGGAGTTTTAAAGGTCAGCGTGCTTGGCTCTGAGAGAGCTCAGAGGACGTTGGGGCTGCTCTTGAAGAAAAGGCAGGGCCAACAGCTCAGAGACATACAGTGTGGAAACAGCAATCTGAAGAGCACCTGGGGCACACAGTAGGGAGGTTATTCACTCATCTCAGGATGTGTCCCAGAGAGACAGCATTCACAGAGACACCGCCAGGGAAAAAAGGAGCGGGCAGGCACCATTTCCCTCCCCTGCCTCTCAGCATAAGCACAGGGCCACCTTCAGGAACCAGTGCAGCACCAACACTCGCTACTTTACTTGCTTAAACCAAGCCCGACCCCATCATGTTCTGCAGAACTGCCCCTTCCAGTAACAACTGCCTGAGTCCCAGTGTGGCAGGGCCCCTCCTCCAGAAGACTAGCCCAAACCCCGGCTCACACTGCATCTCCCCATGTGGGAGTTTTGCAGAGCCTAGGTTCTAGTAGCAGTGGTGACAGGTCTCATTTCACAAACAGACCCAAGCACACCTAGTTAAAATGCCCCACATTCAGGCCAGGATCAAACACTGCCCACAACAGGCGGAGAGGCTCTGCAGATGACTGGCCTGAAGGACAAAGTGGTCAGGACACAACAGCAGAGCACACGCAGCATATATTGGAGACACTCCCAGAAGCGCCAGGCCC